ATTTCCCCGTTGTTATCATAATTAATTGTTAGGTCTAGAAAGTTTATAGAATTTCCTTTATCTTCTTCCAGAGTAAACTTAACTTTAAATTAATGAAATTTTTTTTAACTATCTGTTATTTTAGAAAAACTGATGATGGAAAAATACACCGAAACGTATTTTAATTGATAAGTAGAGACAATAAATGACTGAAACCCAGGAATACATTTTGATTAGTTTTATCTTTTTAAAGCTAAGTTTTTTGTATTTTTTCGTGCATTTTGAAAAGGACCCGTAGTATGTTAAACTTGTATTTTATGTCTGATTCGAACTTTCTTGTAATTTTTCTATAGAACTTAATGTCAAGCACCCGATTTTTCGTTTTAACTAATTTTAAAATGTGACCGGCTTCAATCCATATTTGCCACCAAAAATGCTTAGAGCCTCTGGAAGTAACACTTCGGTCGCTTCAGAATTGAAAAGAGTCATGAAAGAAGCTGTTTGATCACAAAGTGGAAGATTTCATACTGTTGGACTAAAAACGCTGCAATTTTCATCGTCTCCCATGTTTCGATTCCACTACCATCTGTTTCTTTCCATCGTATTTCATATTAGAATTAAGCCGATTCCGTTTCTCACAAATTGCTGCTTCATGTACAAGAATAAGAGCTCAATTAGCTTTTGAATTTAAGTATAGCAATGCCCTGTATCATGGCGTATGATATACAAATATTGATGATTAATTGAATGTTGGTTGGTTGGAATGGTTTTAACAATCGAATACCTATTTTGTTCATTATTTGTTGCTTGTTTAATTCAGCTTAAAGAGCTTTTAATCCTTTTAATTAAAACCGAATTAATTTAAATAAATAGTGGTACCTATAATCCTGTTGACAATAGATTAAATTCGGATTAATTCTGAATTTTTTCCATTAGCAAATAATTTGGTTTGGAAATGCTCGTTTGGGGGTTTGTATTTATCGAAAAAGCACGCATTAATGGGAGGGGAGATTTAGAGATTTTCTTTTATCGTTGAAACATGTATTTTTTATAAATATTTGGCGGCAATTTTGGTCACTCTCCCGAATTTTCAAATCCTAAATAAACCGTCTAAATCAAGTAAATTATCATCTAGTTTACTAGGCTGAACTCAGGCTGATCCTCACAGGTCAAATGTTTTCCTTATTTGCATCGCACCCGCATTCCAATAGAAAAAGGATGCTTTACATGCAGCTCCGCAAAAAACACAAAATTTCTGTGCTTTCGACGCGTTTATTAGCGGCTCAAAAAGAGGTAGGTAAAAGCCTCGCTAAACTTTATTTGAAGTCGAACTCTTTGAAGGTGATTCTCTTGCTTTGAAGTGTCCCCTTCATATCAGGATCTAAGCCACCGTTTTACTCTTGCTTTATTGTTGAAAATACAGAAAAGCGTGAATATTATGTTAGTGCAACAAATTCTGTCATATTTCCTTGTATTTAATTTAACAACTTTATCATGGACATTGAAAGTGGATAAATTGAACCCCAGTTAAAGTTTTGAATAAACATATTATTGGAGAGTGGTTCAGTCCCTTTGACGAGCAAAACATGTTTTTAATTAGTTAAAAGGTGAAAATATTCCCTCAGATGTAGGGATTATAAATTATTTATACTATATTTCAATTAAAGCGAAAAGCAAACATTCATTACATGTCTGCTTACTTCTGTAAACCAAAGCAGCTTGTGCAGAATATTCTTACCTGTTTTCCAACACGTGGCTTTGAGTTTATGGAAAATTAAAACTCTTCTTTTCAAGTGGTAATTGATTCCAGGCGTTTTAGATGAAGTAGAGAGAAATAAATATGTTTACGGTTTGTGTTTAGTATATT